CTAGTAGTGGCCTATGTGTAAACAACTTAAGAAAATAATTAGAATCCAATCAGTGGGATGGCAGGATTTAGTAATATTTTTGTTCTAGCCTAGATCTTTTGTTGGTGGTATCAATGGTATCAAAATAAAAAAAAAACTAATTTCATAAACTTGTGATACAAATCATTTGAATCGATAGCACAATAAATCTTTCAAAATTATATTAAGTTAGACCAAAAAACAGGAGATGATACATTTTTTTAGTAGGTTTATCCAAATATATTATTGTTTCCAACTAAGCGGTAACACAGAAAAGTTTAATTCCTTTTAGAATTCTGCCTATGTCAATCAGGCCTTAGGAATTTGTAGTATTCTAAAATGTTATACATAATCATTTATTGCTAATAAAACTATTCATGGCAACTTCAACTGTTTTTATTGCATCATAAATACCCAACAATTCCTGGATATTTATAAATTAAAATAGTTTTGTTTATGTTATTTAATTGGTTATAAATTTATAAAATGATAAAAATTGAAATAGCCACAGCCATTTTTAATATACTATTTTTTAGTAAGTTAAATTTAACTGATGTTACTCGATTTAAGACACGAAACCCCATGCTTATTTAGAAACTTTAGGTATTATTTTTTTTAAAGTGCTAGATCATTAAATAAAAGGTACGAGTTAGCAAAGCTTCAAGTTACTGTAAAAGGTGTTATAGACTATCCTAATTTATAATGTAATGATAACAATAACATATTTAGGGGTAAATATAAATGAATTTCAATCGATTTCATAAATACCCAAAATACCCCATTGCCCATTTTACCCCCCATTTACTAGAATGTATTACTTCTAGACTTTTCGTACGTTTTCACCGCGACTTCCGCGTATTAGTGAGCTCTTTGTGATTATGAACTTGGGTGCGTTGCGTTCTCCAAAATTCTACAAAACAGAATCATTAGAGGGGTCTAGGAATTCGATGGCCAATAGGAAATGCGATTGAAGCAAACACGGTGTCAGGTGATTCATGGGTATGTAGTACAGGAAAATAGGCCTTACTGTGGCGGGAAATTCGAGCGGGCTTAGCAATCTCATTTGAATATTGAAAGCGTGAGTCTATTTACAATAAATTGTTACTGAGACTAAATAATATTACAATAAATGTGGTGATTTATATACACATTAGCATGATTAATTAACCAGTGACTTAATTAACATAATGATTAATTTCTAAATACTGTACTCTAAAAATATGAATACCGAACACCCGGGTATTTATGGATCTTGTGTATTTACCCGGGTAAATCCCCAGGGTATTTACCCCGAGTTTTAAATACCTGGGTATTTTACATCACTAAAGTACGTACATTATAGGGTACCTAGCCTACTTTGAATCTTCAGTATATTTTCTGAAGGTTACGCGATTTCCGTGAGCTTACAATTTACTGTTACTACTCAGTTTAGCAATGGTTCAAGGCCAATTTTCAAGTCTTTTTGCCCCCTAGTGGAGCGAGCTGGTACTTTCCTGAAGTACCGGTAATGTGTTAAACAGTTCCGGGCCAACACTAGGGTCCTTGGATATGAAATTAGGACATAAAACATCTGTAGGCTACTACAACAAAGTGTATAGGTACAGTACCTTTATAAGTACCGGTTATCCTATTCCTAAGTATTTTAAAATTCGTTTTGTAAGTCTTAGTTGTTTATATTTATTTTATTTTTTTTCAGATCGTGTAAAAAGACTGTGGTCAAACGACGCTTTTCTGAAAAAAAGATTGACTTCACGGTTTTAACCATGCTGGCACTAAATAAAAGGATCTTCACTTAATTTTAAAAAGTAAGGCTATTATAGTTACATTTTGTCCAAACCAATGTTATTTGCCAATAATTTCCAAAATCTAGACCAATGTTATGTAAAATTAAACAAATAGGTCCAATGGAAACTATTGTTAATACATTATTTTGTATAGTCAGAGTGGTCAAATTAATAAAGGTTTTGCGTTTTCAAGTCTATTCAAAGCTTGGAGCTTGAATCATATTATATTATATTTATTTTTTATGCCACATACTTATAAAACATGGTCAAATGGGGGGGTACAATTCTCAGGGGATACAATTCCAGGTTGTACATCTTCTTCTGCGGTCACCAGGGGGTACAAATCCCGGGGGGGTACAATTCCACCCAGTAAACCAAATAAAGGTTAGTTCTAACTAGGGGGTACAATTTCAGGAGGGTACAATTTCTGGCCCTTACAGTTTTTAAGATGCCAGAAGATTTAATCCCTCACTCGTGCATAACAATATCAAAGTTTTATGAGGGGGGTACAATTCCAGCCCGTACTCTCCATTTTGGTCGAGAAAATGAGACGTCATCGTGACGTCACTAACCTGCGGGGGTACAATGCAGGGAGGTTCAATTCCGCCACCCCCTTCTGAGCACTCCGGGGAAGATATTTGAGTGTGGCTGGTTCTAGGGGTAGGCCTATCTAATCAGTGAATACAATTTTATTCCTCTATCAGAATTTACATCACATTTTTGGCGCCCGAACAGGGACACACACTTCTGGCGCTACCCTAGAATTTACGTCACACTTGGATGGCAATAATTATGTGATGTGATTGCGAGAGATGTACACAATCTCGCAGCAACTGCGGAAGTCGATAATGATGTCCCCATGATTGCAGGAGATGTTCAAGATTTCCCGCAAACACAGGTGGGTGGCAATGATAATGTTCTGTGATCAGGGAGTGGAATCTAATTTACAAGTAAGTATATCATGAGTTGCCTAAGTTTATTATCAAAGTCCTGTTTACAAGGCCAGTAGAGCAGGGAGGTTATGGGGCAGGTTACTACTTGCCTTCTATGTATTTTAAGTTACCTGAGGCAAGTAACCTGCCTACCAACTGGCTCTGTGTAAACACAGCTTAAGTGTATGTGCCTAAGGCCTATCTAACTGCATCCTAATCAATCCTGGTGATCTGATATCAATGTAAATATCATATACCGTTAGGGTTTATTGTAATAAAAATGTTTTCTTACCAAGCTCTTCAATTTTAGGCTGCAATTTATTGAAGGCATATGCCTTTAAACAAACTAGGCCCTAGCTATAATTCTACCCTAAAATGATACAACTAGTCCATTAAATGTGTTATTAGCCTTCATTTTTAGAAAAGTAAATCAAGTACTAGGCCCCTCAATATTGATTGAAGAATTAGCAGATGCTGTACAGTACTTGCTATGTACTTTTTGCTTTGTATATTAGCATGTTTGCTTTTTTATAATTTTAATTTAGTTCAATTTGTGTATGTTTTATCTAATGCTTATGATTTTTATGACTTAGCTTATTGTACATTGTCTGTATTGAATGGCCGAATACATGATTTGATTTGAGGTGGTGTTTTCTAGACCTTTATTGCTTACATACAGGGCCGGATCTAGGAACTGCGAAACCCCGCAATGCAGGGGGGCCCAAAGAGCTCATAAAATTTAAAATTATTTTAATGCATATAAACAAAATTGAATATGACGGTAAGTTTAGTTTTGACAAACAAATATTGTCAATTGATTTTACTCGTTAACAACTTGGGACCTCGCCGTAAACAGTTTAATCTGCAGTTTAATGCTGTCACTTTCAGTCAGTCCAGTCTGTATGCTCAGCTCAGTCCAGTCAGCTTATCAGCTGCAGTGCGCGCTTCAAAGGTCCACTACAGTCTGATCGACGTGGACGTAGTGTCAACTTAATCAACTATCATTTGAGCTGAGCAATAAGTCTGTAGTACAGGCGGGACTTATACTAACCTCTGTAGTGTTATCTAACGACCTCAGGGCCGGTGAGGGCCGTCACGGGCCACTGGAAAGTGGGCTGAGTGATCCCGGCCCCCCTACTTTCCCGATTTAGTGAAGAAAAGATTTTACATTTGACCGGGCAGGACCCACTTCAGAGCCCAGGGCCCCGGAGCTCTGGCCCCCCTGCCCGACCCTCTGGGACCATGATTTGTATGTAGGCCTATCTGTCTTTAAAATTTAGTGTAAAAAAGAAACTAAGTTTAAATTCAAATCAAATCAAATCAAAAAATCCTTTATTCAAACAGTACCTCTGTACCTTTAGTACCTTTAGTAATTGAGTCGTTTGTTTATTACACTTTACCTTATTATTTATGCTTGAAATTCTTTATGTAAAAACCTTTTACTTTTTTTTGTACAATATGTATTTTATAATTTGTAAAGCTTGTTAAAAGACTAAGAAATTTTTGAAATTTTGACGCCCGCAAAAATCTGCCGCTTAGGGCAACCCCCCACCCCCACCCTCCTAGTTCTGGCCCTGCTGTACCCTGTCAGCTGTTGAGTTACCGGTTGACAAGTTAGTGAGGTTTTACTGTATAAAACTTAAACTCCAACATAACGACTAAAAGAATTTAAGGCCTAGATAGTAATGCCAGGCACACATTTGTACTAAACTGCTTCGTCCTTTACACTGAAGTAAGAAAAATATCACTCAACTAAATCAAGAAAAATTATGTCTATATTGAGAATCAATAATCAAACGATTTAGTCACAGTTATAGTTATTTAAATTTGTGTTTCAGATGTTAAAAGTCACAGTCAAAACTGTTGAAAATTCCATTAGAAGGAAGAATTGGAAATCTACTGTCCTTAATACTCCCTGTAGCAAATACTTGACATGTGCTTCATATCAATTGAGACCTGGGGTACTGGTGAAAGTACTTAAAGATGCTGTGCCAACCAAATTTTATATAAGCTAATAGGAAGGTAACCAAAGATTCTCTTCTTAGACAATATTTGTACATAATTCTAGATAAGTAAAAATTTTATTAATGATCCATGCCTAGAAAATATTGAAGTTCCATAACCCACTAATTTTTTATTTAACTTTCAAGTACTGATTCTAGGTCAAGCACCATTTTCACCTATTAAATAGGCCTACTTTATGAAAGAGAAAAAACTACAGCAGCTGACAATAGCTTTGCTAAAATACTTTTCTAAGAACATTTACCAATAGGATTTTTTATTGTTGATCTAATAGTCCTTGGTGTCCCCAAGGATAGTAAAACTGTTGGAAGTTGACTCTTCAACGATCCTTACCTAGAATTGGTGACAGTTTCGCCTTAGTTGGTAAGCGTGGACTAGCTGCTTTTTGGTTGCTTCCTTTTTAATCGGATTTCTGAAACAAAATTGTTGGTAAGTCTCAAAATACCTTCAGCAATTTTTTAGTGCTACAGTATTTTATGTGTTTACTTTGAAAAACTAGATAAAAACAAGATATTATGTGATTAATGCATTTGTATACTATAAGCATATAAAGTTGTGCATACTATAAATTATAAAAATTACTACCTATACTTGTACGTTTTTATCATACCAAACTGAATTAGAACCTCGTCCTGTTTTCCATTCAGCCTTGCTGGGTACGATCCTTGAGGGGGATATTCCGGCATTTTAAGGGGACCCGCCACCACTAAAATGGGTGTTTTTTTTTAATTTGTAAAAATGACATTTTCTTATTGTTTATGTTTTTGAAAATATCCATGTAAAGTTTCATGCATATCTGACCATATTTCCTATTGATACCTTGACCACATAACAAAAGTGATAAAAAAACGATTTCCAGATTTTTTTTTATAAATCTATATATTCTCTATAATATAATTAAGATTAATTTGTATTTATATAAATGATATGATATATTGATCACATAGGTACATATAAGCTACTTAATAAGGTACTTTAAGCTATATGAATATAAAATGTAACCATATTCCAATCGAATTAGATTCCGGAGATAATTTTGTTTTGTTTTTCTCTATAGAGATAAATCATTTCACAAAAATAACAATATTGGGAAATATTTTTTAGGGAATAGTATCCTTAGGGAAATTAATAGTCTGGCAAATTTTGAAGACAAGACGGATTATGTATTATAAGAATATTTTTTTGATTTTAAGGATATATTTTGTTTTTAGATTTTTTAATATCAGGGACTTTATTTTTATTTTTTTATTATTTATTAATTCAGATTTAAATTGCAAAGTACAAGAAATGAGAGACAACTGCTAAACTATTAGAAGAGTTAAAAGTAAATCAATCAGAAATTATATACAATGTTTTGTTAACCGTATCTCATTTGTTAAGGTAACACATTCCAAACACTTCTCTTAGTTTCAATGATATTTTTTTAGCGAATTTCCCATATAGGGAATAAGCTATTACCTGTAGTACTCATGGTAAGACCTGGACGCGGGACCGATTTTTTTTTCGTTTTGAGGTCCCTAGAGGCCAAAAACACCATCCGTTCAGATTCATATATATTTATATATATATATATTATTATATATATATATTTTTTTTTCTTAATTATATATTTATATATACAGGGTTAGTAAAAAGTGTCGAGACCCCCTGTTATTTTTTTAACGGCCCATCCTAGAAAAACTAAACTTGGCAAACCATTATTGCATGTTATGAAGTACTTTTTGGGCATAACCGCCACTTGGCGTTCATCCCCAAAATGGGGGATTTTGGGGGAAACTAAAAAATTTCAAATACAAAGACCCATCGAGTGACCCCTCATTTTGAAGGTCCTGGTAAAAGAAAACCAACAATGCAAACTAGAGGTCTCTATCTCAGTTCAGTAAAAAATGGCAGCCAATTAAAATTCTCATAAGTTCCCGAATCCAAAATTGGGGATTTTGGGGGAAACTCAAAAATTTTAAATGATAAGCCCCATCGAGTGACCCCTCATTTTGAAGGTCATAATAAAAGAAAAGTAACAACGCAAACTATAGGTCTCTATCTTAACACAGTAAAATATGGCAGCTAATTGAATATAAAATTGCAAGTTATTTCCAATTTCTAAAGATTTCAATCAGCTTCCATTTTTTACTGGATAGAGATAGAAACCTCTAGTTTGCGTTGTTAGTTTTCGTTTACCAGGACCTTCAAAATGAGGGGTCACTCGATGGGGCTTATCTTTTAAAACTTTTGAGTTTCCCCCAAAATCCCCCATTTTGGGTTTGGTGAGCAAGTGGCTATTAGGCTTAAAAAGTACTTCATAACATGCCAAAAAGGTGTATAGAGTTTAGTTTTCCTAGTGTGAGCCGCTATAAAATTTACAACAGGTCTCCAGACTTGGAAAGCTGTAAGTTAAATTGAACTTCTGAGAATTTCAATTGGCTGCCATTTTTTACTGGATTGAGATAAAGACCTCTAGTTTGCGTTGTTGGTTTTCTTTTACCAGGACCTTCAAAATGAGGGGGATCACTCGATGGGTCTTTGTATTTGAAATTTTTGAGTTTACCCCAAAATCTCCCATTTTGGGGATGTACACCAAGTGATGGCTATGAACAAAAAGTACTTTATAACATGTCATAAAGGTGTGCCGAGTTTAGTTTTTCTAGTATGGGCAGTTAAAAAAATAACAGGGGGTCTCCACACTTTTTACTAACCCTGTATATATATATATATATGTGTCCGTTAGCACGATAACTCGAGCAAAAATGATCCGATTTTGATGAAATTTGGTACAAAAGTGTAAACCTACGTTTATTCGAACGAGTTCGCAATCCAGCATGGTCGGACCATGGGAACGGGGGTTTACGGGGGGTTTTATGGGGTAAAAATAGGGTTTTCCCATTTTCGACCCAAAAAACATAAAATTTAGCAATTTCTTTTCAAACCATTTTGTAGAGCTTAAAAAAACAAATAATTTAGTATATTGAAGCGTTATTATGCGCCTAATGGTTACGGAGAAAATTCCAAAAAACTGTAAATTTAAAATTCCCATGTTATTTTTATGGAGAATAAATAAGTAAACTGTTGTAGTTTGCTTGTTTATGAACATATTTTGATTAAATTTGGAAAATGTTTTTATTTCTTACTAACTATTAACATTTTACAAAAAAAAACAGTTTTACCCTCCCTGATGCAGCAAACCTAAGTCCTTGTTAAACTAATTCTATTTAAATAGGGAATAAATGTTATATTTTAAAGTAGACATTTCAGTGTAAATCCAATCAGTCAAATGGAAATTCGCTTAGTCTGCAGGTTTGCTGCGGTGGGGGTATTCTTTTTTAATGTCTGTTGTTTAGTTTTGTTCTTAATTTGAGTTTGTGAATTTCTTTGAGAGTCTAGAATTTTTTTTTTAATAAATTATATGTTGTATTTATGAGTTATATGTTTGAGTAGGCTTCCTATTTACCCATCCCCGCTGACCAACTATAGACAAGGCTACAAGAACTTCATGATTTGCCGTGTTATCTTCAACATCGAGATCGGAGGAAGAGACTTTGTCAAATGAAAACTGGAGAAACGCAGCTGGGGGCAAGTGCTTTTAAGAAGAGGAGAACTTCAAGCTACAGTACACTCAATCAATGGCAAAAGCAGTCCAACATCATTGTCAACCAAAGTCGATTAATCATCAATGCTGTCAAGGAACGCTGGGCGGACTACACTCTATAAACACCGAAGTGGGAGACGTCGCAGAAGAAATGGCTGTGGTCAAGCATCTGAAGACCAACGACTCTTCGAGGAGGCTTTATCAACACAACTGCTGAGAAAGTCAGCGAACAGTTGGTCAGTTTTTCCCCTCCTAAACCTTATTGTAATTTTGTTTAAGTACAGTTTTAAAGATTTTAATAAGTTTTTGTTATTAATTTTTGTTCTCTCTGTGGATGTATCTATGTATTTGAGACGCTGGGGACATCATCTGGAGGAAATGGGGGAATGTAATGGAAGGGGTAAAATATTGTAAGCAGGAAGTATTTGGCAATGTTGTGTGAGTAGGCCAGGAGAGTTGTTAAACAGTAACATGTTGTGCTGACCTACTGAAGGCTGTTGCTTTAAGTAGGCCAGTGCACTTGATCAAGGGGATAGTTGTCATGACGCTATCTCTCAATTGGTCAAGTTAATACATATGTAATGCTATGGATACATACAATACGGTACTGTTATAAAGTTTTTTTTTTTTTTTTACCAGAAGTACTTTTATTTTTAATTATTTCATGTAGAAGGCAAAGCAAATGCCTACTAACAAAAGACCATGAACATGCTATGCTAACGATGTTGTGGTGTCATTCAAGTTCTAATCTAGGTAGGCCTATGTTTAACAACTTTTCTTTTTATCTGTAATTCTCAATTGATAAATGAACATTTATTAGATTATTTGGACTGCTGTGAGGTGGAAGGTGTTTTCCAGAGCGTCCAGCATATCGCACCACCTTGCGGAGTTAAACGCATTTGGCACATCAAATGTCCCAAGCAGCGCAAGATATTCCCGACAGGAATATTGGTTATAATCCTCTACTCTCATTACGGCTCACTTTACCTCCTCAATAGCGTCAACCGTTGACTGGCTTCCTAAAGCCGAACTGACGAGGGGACAGGTTTTCCGCAGCGATCACAGCTGAATTAAGTCCGGAACGGATCAACTTTTTGAAGACTTTCCCAGCCGTGTCCAGCATACAGAGAGGTCTGTAGGAGGAAGGTAGGTCTGGGTTTCCTTTTCCCTTCTCCACGAGCACAAGCCTAGCTGTTTTCCACTGGGAGGCAAAACATCCCCTCGACCAGACAGGCATTGTACGTGCTCAATAGGTGACGGAGATTAATTGATAAAACTTTCTTAAGAGCGTCACCGGGTACCCGATCTGGTCCAGGAGCCTTGTTGTTCTTCTGGGATAGTACAGCCTCCTCCAACTCCAAGACTGAACAGCGGGACGTCTTCCACCCTTACAAACTCCCGCAATGAGCGCAGTGTACGAGTCGGGAAAGGGAACTTTTTTCTCTTATAGGGCTGGGGTATCATTACCCTTGCTACCTCATCCTAAAAGATCTTTTGTAGCACCCTTTAAGCTTAGACACCCAACCTTCTTGCAATCTTCTTGCGAAGCCAATCAGTTGTTGCACACCAATTTCTCGTATTTCAGTAGGCATCAGGAATGCCTTTCCTAGGTGTTTCAACCACTTCTGGGCTATCGCCGGACATTCCAGCCATATGTGCTCAGCGGATTCTGTTTAGTAGAGGCAGAATCTGCACTGGTCTGTCTGTCTAAGCCCTATTGTCTTGAGATACTCCTCACATA